TTTCCTGTTTTTGGTTGAATTTTAAATAAAGCTTTCTTCGGTTCTCTTTCATTATATATCTAGATCGTTATATATCTGAATCCAGATTAGTTTGAGCTGGATGATCTTCACCAAAGAATACGCTTCATCTCTGCTCCTTGGAAATCAGTCTCTGTCCATTATAAAGTCGGTGGTGGCATAGAGACAGAGCTTTCTTGTTGGAAAGGCGATGATGATGATGGATTAAGATTCAGGCGACTCAAAAGATTTACAGTAAAGCTGGCTTTTCAATTTGAAAATCCGGCATATCGGCATATATATTCTGATGTTTCGTTTTGAGTAATCTAGGAGTAATAATCCGATGGTGTAGAGTCTTTCAGTTAAGACGTTGGTTGAAAACATAGGAGAATAACAATGAAGCGTGAAGTATTCGGCGAAGGTGATCATGCATAGAATTTGCTGGCGTTATCGCCGTGTCATTCTCTTCATTCTTGATTTGCATCGTCAATGAACACGTGTTGACAGAAGAATAAACGGTGGAACAAGCGTCTTAGAAAGTAGGACTTCATAATTAGTTTAATGAAAATGTAATCAAATAATTGGATTGAATTGTCTTTAAATTTCATCTTGTAATGCACATTGCACCTTTCCATAATGAAAAAAGTTTGACAAAAGAATATGATCCAACATCTACACATATATTTATTTAAAATAAGCACATAAAATTTTACAACACAAAAATATAAATGCTGCATGAAATGCATCCGTATAGATGTTTATTGTATTGTCCATACTGTGGTTAGATATAGATATAAGACTAATCAATATAACATGGTATATAACATATTTGTCAATTAATTCATTAATCACTACATTTTTATGAAAAAACTACAATAATCACTTTTGATTTATTTATTTATTAAAAGAAAAGATCAGCAATTAGTATGTTTATGCATATTATCAACATTATCTTTCTAAAATAACATTTACTTATTTTAAAATAACATTTAATTATGTTAAAATAATATATTATATAGTGTCTCTAAAGTTTTATATGCCTATAATTAAAATTTATATGTTTTCTTCTTATAATTAAAATTATGTGGGAATTACATTAACCATAAAATTATTTACATATATTTTGAAATAATTTTATATGTTTTAATAAAAATATTTATAGATTATATTCGTATGATAATATACATCAATATATAAAATGAAAAATTTCCTAACACAATTAAATAAATTTATTTAATTTATTGTAAAAATGGTAGAAATTAATTTGGTTAGAAGTTATTAATAAAATATTATTTATAGAAACTAATTAATATTTATTAATTTAGTGATGTAAAATGCATCGTTAAAATAATGATGGCTATTTAAAAAAAATTAATATAATAGATTTGCTACCCCTACATACAATTGGTATGACGTAAAACTCATATGCACATGGAATTTAAAATTAATAATATACTAGATTTTTACTTGCGTTTTGAAAGCGCGGGATAAGTTTTTGGTTAATTTTTTAAAATTTAGGAATGAGTACAGTTTTTGTTTTTTTATAAAATTTTAATATTTGAATTTTGACGTCTATAATTAAAATTAATTTACATTGTTGTTTTATAGTAATTCGGACTGGATGTTTAGCTACCGTTACATTTTTTAGATCGGTTGAGTTTGAGTAATATTGGATTGAGTTTGTATATATATTTTTTTGAGTTATTCGAGTTTGGGTGTTTAGGACCCGTGTAAGAACCAAACATTTTCCGGATCAGTTCAATTTGAGTAATATCGGATTCGGTTTGCATTTATATTCTTTTTTGTGCAACTGGAAATGAATCCGAATTATAAATAGTTTGAGTTTGAATCATGTTAAAGCCATAAAGCTCAAAAAACTTTGAAAAATCGAAATAACACCAAAAATCCTAAAATGGCAATTTAGGTAATAAAGGGTTTTGTATATTATAATACATAAATGATATCATATATTATGAAAATTAATATTTTTTATTATATTTTGAATATATGGATACTTATTCAGTTATCGGTGTGATTCTGATTTTAGTTTTGGTTTTCAGGTTTGAGAAATAGTAAATGTGGAGTTTTTCAAAATTTTGGTATGGTTTTGGTTTTAGTTTTTCTGTTTCCATTTGAGTTTTTTTCTATTTAGATAATATTTTGAAGACTAACTTTCTCATTAGTTTCCTTATCTGTGTTTTAATACCGATCTTACTAAAATATTCTTTCTTATTTTTAATCTAAAAACGCCAAACTCAAGAAAATCTAAAAACTGGTTCAAATGTCCAAATTAATCAAAAATATAAATATTTGAATCATAAATATGTACTTCAAATATTCAATTCTATATTTATTTTGAAATGATATCTAAAATAAGTATGAAAAACATATAATTTGTAAATGTTGTATTGTTAAGCGACAATGTTTTTGGGGAAAATTTTTTTCAAGCGAGAACGTTTTACACTTTTAAATTTTTAATAAGACATCCTCACGTCATTAGAAATTTTCTCATTAGAACTTATACTAAACATAAGTAAACCATTGAAATTTTTAATATTAACAGAAATATATATAAGGTAATTTTTCTATTCTTTTTTTTTTGTAAATGCATCTCTTTATAAGATAATGATCACGTCATATGTCTTATATTTGATGTCAATATATTGTTTAAGTTATTACATAATAGATTACGTAGAGTAATAAATGAGTTTATTTAAATTATGTAAAGTATCTTTATAGTTAAATAATTGGAGAAAATTAAGATAAGATCAAAATAGAATAAATAATTAATGAGTAGATGCAACAATTTTTTGTAAATAGATGTTTCAAGATGATTGTTTTTAATATTATAGATTATTTTATTTTTTTGAACAAATAATATTATAAATTATTAAAATTCAATTTCCATTAGTTAATTAGACCAATGTTTGATACCATTTTGTGAGATCCTGTTTTACTCTAATTATGTTTGCTTCGTTGAGAATATCTTGAAAGTATCCCAATTGTCCTGAGCATTACCCAACTGGTAGATATTTTTCTGTTTAATTATATTTAGCTTTTAAAGTTTTAAATGCTGCAGTTGGAAATATATAAAAATTAAAATAATTAATTTTGTTATTTATAGTAATGGCATGCCATTGTAAATATCTAACAAAATTAAGGACAGAATCCTAATAGAGATTCTGCTTTAATAGTATAGATTAATATTTTTGAATCCCGGAAGCATACCCAAAAAAAATAAAAAAATAATAATGATATATTGATATCTAGTTATTTTAAGGAATGTTGTTGTTTAAATATTTTTATGATCGTAATTGTAAAAAGAAAAAAGTCCCACGATTTTGGCAGATATTTTAGAATATCTCTTATATATTAAAAGAGAAGCATTGCAATAAATGCGTTCACACCATAATTGACACGTGTCGGTCTTACAATCATTTGATAATAAATGTGTTCACACTAATTTTTTAAATTTATTACTTAATGTATTTATACACTATTTTTTAATTAATTCATTTTTCTTACATTTTTTAGATTTTGTATTAATAAATTAAAACTTTCTACGTGAAACTAATGAATAATATTTTTACTGTAAAACAAATTACAAAATCATTAAAATTTGCATCAACTAAAATATTGCGATGAAAATGTTTGTAGAAATTGAAAATTTCGTACCTTGCCGAAGTTGGTCATGGTTGTAGCTTCGGTACACAATAACAGCAAATAAGATGATTAATTATGAATTAAAGAAGCTGAGATGAAAAACACCACATGTAAATCAAATCTTTAGTTTAGTCAAACATTAACATTTTTATAAAGTTTTCATAACAAGAATTAGAAACAAAATCAAATTGATAGAAAAAATCAGAAATCAGAAAAGCTTTAAAAATAAATAAAAAACACAATCGATTAAAAACAGAATTCAAGTACCAAGTGAAGATGTCACTTTATAATATATATTATTTTATTGTTACGGGTACAATTTGATTTTCTTCATATGAAAAAATATTATTAATTTCTAGGTTTGTTTTATTTTTACTTAATTTTATTTAATAATTTACTATCATGTGTTATTTTGAACAAAAATATTTTAAATCTTACTTAACGGTATATTAATATATTTATCATCACATTTTCATATTTTTACATATACATACATATACACATTAACATGAGCGACTATATAACTAAATATTCACCACAAGTGAGAATTTTAATTTTTATTGAAGTTAATTTTCTTTTTAATGTTTTCTTTCACTATTGCTCAAAGGGTAGTGGAATATTTTATGTTAATAATTTTTTTCTTTTTTTTCAAATATTATTTAGATTTTATTTGATTTTACATGTCTTTAGAAATTATAATAGGAAACTATTAGTTCGAGATAAAAAATGTCTAAAATTTATATAAAACGAAACCAAACAAATAACAATTATGTTTACTTTCATCGAAAAATTCAAAAACATCAAACATTTAAACCAAAAAAATCAAAATAAATATAGATTTAAAATGATAGTTATAGTTTAGAAGAATAAAAAAAACAACGTAAAACTGAATCAATATTCATGCTAAACAGATATAATACCATTTTATCTTAAAAGTAACAAAAGTAATAATCTCATTCCGCGCAAGACGCAGATTATTACCTAGTACAACATTATTGTTGAAGTTATTGAGTGTTTTGAAATATTTCCTCAATTAGTTTGTTTTTGGAACATATTGGAACAAAACTAAAGGGAAGTGCTTCAACTTTAGTAAGATAAATGCAATATTTAAAATGAAAAGAAAAAATTAACTGAAATTAGTATTATTGTTAGATAGTTAGCGGGTCCAAATAAAATAATAATTATCTAGACACGAACCCAGATCTGAAGTTATCAACTTCAGGATCCTTGCTCACTCTGGCAAAACATCTTAATATGAGACAGCTTACGTAATTAAACGTTTATAAAGTAAGTCATCTCAACGGTTAATTCATTATTCAACTTCCAAAGTAGCCCTGTTTCTAAACGTTTCCATAAGGATGATGATGAGGCCCCGTCGGAGGAGGAGGGTACGCCGCTGGAGGAATAGAGGTGACCCCGGGAGGATCATGTCGGTAACCATGTCCCATGACTGGCGCAGGAGCCGGCACAGGCGCGTTATGAAGACCATGAGAAACGTGATAATGAGATTGCTTAGCCATAAGCTTCTCTTCGGCATGAACAGCTTTAGCTATGTGCAGGTCCATCTTAGCCTCTGCTTCCTTGGCCTTTCTACGCTGGTGTGCTATCTCTTTCTCCTCTTTTGTACGTGCCATCGCCTGCTCCGCCTGTCATGATTAACATTCAAATCAACCAAACAAGTCATATAGGTATCACATATTAAACGTTAATTAATATAAAATAAAAATCATAATTTGATCAGAACCTTCTCAGCCGCTTTTGCTTCACATTCCACCATCCTCTCCTTGGCTGTACTAGCCATATCGCTGAGTTTCTGTTTCGCCGATTGCATTTTCTTTTTATGCAGCTTTTCTCTATTTTAACTATTGTAATTTGTAAATATGGTTTTCGTCTCACTTAAATAAGATGAATGAGCAGCCGCGTCAGTTCAAATGAGTGGCACGTGTCAGTGATGCTGCCGGTCACGTGTCGCGCTTAAAAATATGAGGCTGCCACCTAAAAACGCTTCGGTGGCCGTCTATACCGGATCTAACCAACCAAATTGGTAAGTAAATCGTTGGTTTAGCAGAACGAGATCATCCCTGAATTTGCTTAAACCGGAAAATACTCTCTTATCTTCAACCTACCTCTCGACGTAAAAATCTCCCCAGAAAAGATGGCTCTAATCTCCCCCTCTACACTTTGTACTTCACTTCAGCGAATGATATGTCCGATTAACCGGCGATATTCTCCGAATTTGCGTCGAGGAGCTACGACGTGTGAGTATCGAATTCCTGTAGAAGTGTCCAGTCCAAGAGATAGAGGATCCTTGGCTGTTCCTTCGCACAAGGTCACTGTACACGATCGTCAGCGAGGAGTTGTACACGAGTTTGAGGTTCCAGAGGTTAGTTTTTTTTTCCCATTAATTCTGATCCGAACTTTGCCGGAAACTGTTGCCGATCTTTGCTGATTCGCGGTCAGATTCATCACAGAGTATGATGATTCTTCCTTCGAGATTAGAAGCTGGCTGTTCATAGCTTAGGTTACTTATACTTGGACTTGGACTGTGTGCTTTAGATTACAACACACCACGCAATGTATGCTCGCTATCCAGTGTTGAAATCAGAGCCGTTATGGTGACGAAACATTAGCCAATTTTTAATGGTTTATATTTATATATCATCCGGCCGCTACATTGATGTAGAAGAATACAATATCATTTAGCATTTTTTGTCTGTAAATGTTTAATAGTCCCATGAATGTAATGGTCTCGTAGGATTAGAGCTGTTTCTCATCTAGCTAGTCTACTATAGATTCAATCACTCTCTTTCTTCCTTTACATGTGGACATTGTAAAGTGTGGTTTGTATGATCCACCTTTTGTTGATACATTGTGGAAATGCAGGATCAATACATATTGCACTCAGCTGAATCTCAGAACATTAATCTTCCCTTTGCTTGCAGGCATGGTACTCTTCTCTTGACTCCCTTCATTTTGTTTCCTTAGAATGACCTTCTTAACTCTGCATATGTTTCCTTGTCTTCCTTTCTTCTATGCATGACGATCATAGTCTTATATGTTTCTCTGAGCTTTACCTGTTTATAAAACACTTTGGCAGTCTAAATGTTTCTGTGAGGTCTACGTTACGTGTTTAAAATCGCTATACATACCTATGTGACTCGTCTACAGTTTGAGTTTTTACAGTCTTGAATGTCGCTTCTTATGCTGGTAGGTTGCTGTACTAGCTGTGCGGTACGTGTCAAATCTGGAGACCTGAGGCAGCCACAAGCACTGGGAATATCAGCTGAACTCAAGTCTCAGGTAATAAATAATATCATCCCTTTATCTTGTGCTTTAGGGACGGTGGAACCACATTGGCTAGCTGCGTGATTATATTTTTGTTCTGTGGAAAACCTAAGAGCAACGCTTTTTGAGTCAATGAGAGCAAGGCGAAGCTTTAACCAACTACTCACTCAGTTGTATTGTTGTTCTTTCCTAATTGAATCTGGATTCTACAGTGTCAAAGACCTATCTAACTGTCAGCGTTTAGATTTTTACTTCAAGTTTATCTTGCATATAAGTTCTGTGGCTTTTAAATGTAGGGATATGCACTTCTTTGTGTGGGTTTCCCTACATCCGACCTGGAAGTAGAAACCCAAGATGAAGACGAGGTAACCTATTCATAAGAATTACTCTCCTGAAAGTCCAAGAACTGCTTGCAACAATATTTTGTCTTCACTCAATTCATTCTAGTAACACAGTTCTGAATGTTATGGACCACACACAGGTCTACTGGCTACAATTTGGAAGATTCTTCGCTCGTGGACCAATTGTAAGTCCTCACATCAGAAAAAAACCTTGGTGCACTTTTCTTATTACCAATCTTTCAAGTTTTACAAACGCACGAGTAGGAAGACTAGGTTTATCCAGCGAAGAAGTGTATAGATAGATTGACTGTTAAAGAAACTCAGGGATTTGTGTATTATGATCGATGGCCGGTTTTACTAGGTCTAGTTATATAATTGATGTTTTCAAAGATATCAATTCTTTAGTCTTTTTGGCACTGGGTTTTTAACAGCCTTATTGATGTTTTACATTGCAGGAGAGAGACGATTACGCCCTTGAACTCGCCATGGGAGACGAGTAGAAACAAAAAGAGACATGCAAGGTCGCCAACTTTCTTAGTCCTGAATCTCGTGGTGCATCATTTGTAAATCTCTCTATGAATTATAAAAACCTATGGATCTTTCAACCCATGAACTCCAAAAACAATTACATAGTTTTTGTTTGACTATCACAGTGTAAAGTGTAATTGAACACTTGATCACACCCAACTCGAATACAAGTCCGTGTATCCATATTGCTTCCTTAGCTGCTTTTCCAAGTGCTATATATTCAGCTTCTGTAGTTCTGTAGTCGACATCGCTACAATAGATTGTTGTACCGATCTCCAACATATAGGTGTTCCTGCAAGAGTTGATCTGCTATTATCAAGATTTCCACCATAATCTGAATTCACGAATCCAATAATTGAACTGCACTCTTAATCTCTAAACATAAGTTCATAGTCGCTTGTACTTCCTAAATATCTTACAATCCATCTCACAGTATTCCAATGACTTCTTCCAGAATTCAACGTATACTTGCTAATCTAGTTAACTGCTTGTGCTAGATTCGGCTTGTACACACCGTAAGTACATCAAACATCCAACTATACTATGGAATTTGTTCCATATTTTTAAGATCTTCAACAGACTTTGAACATTGTTCTGCTGAAAGGTGTAGAAACCGGTTTTGCCTTCAACATATCAAAACATTCTAAAAACGTGCTAAGACTTTTCAGAGAAACTTTTCTAAGAAAGCCATAATCTCTTAGAGTTTCTTTCTCTGTGAATCTCTATTCCAATAATCTTCTTTGTAGCACCAAGATCCTTCATCTCAAATTCATCTCCCAGCCACCCTTTCAAACGATTTATATCTTCCATATCGTTTGCAGTATTGAGCATATCGTCAACATACAATAGCAGGAATATGGGAGAGTGGTCGTCCAGAGACTTAACATAAACGCATCAATCATACTCACATCTTTGATAGCTGATCTTCAACATATAGAGTCAAACGTTTGTACCATTGTCTTGGAGCCTGCTTCAAACTGTAGAGTGACTTCTTCAACCTACACACAAGATGTTCTTCTCCAGACTTAACAAACCGTCAGGTTGCTCCATCTATATTTCCTCCTCCAAGTCTCCATGAAGGAAACCCTTTTACATCCATTTGTTCTAGATGTAAATCCTAGCTAGCTACCAAACTCAACACAACTCGTATGGAAGTTTGTTGTACTAAAGGCGAGAAAATTTCGTCATAGTCTATACCTTTCTTTTGTGACTATCCTTTCTCCATCAGTCTTGACTTAAATTTGAAAGGTTATTTTGTCATACATCCTTTGTTTCTTCTTATAAACCCACTTGCAACCAATCACTCTCTTCCCTTCAGGTAATTCCACAAAATCCCAAGTCTGATTTTTATCCAGACTTACTCTTCCGTCATAGACCCAATCCATTCTTCTTTCTCATCACTATCAATAGCTTTTCGATAACTAGTAGGATCATCTATCCCGACCACAAGAGAAAAATTGACTATGTCTTCAAATCCGAATATGACAGGAGCTTTTATTGCACGTTTTGGTCTTAATCATACTCTCCTCTGTTCCATGTTGAACCTCTTTCTGCCCTTCTTCCACATACCACTCATCATTAATAACATCTGGTTTATCTCTTCCAGACTCCTCCTGAGATATACGAGAATCCATGTTAGTCTTAAAGATCACATGCAGTTGGTCTGATATCGATTGTTGCACCATATACTGCTCATCAAAGATCACATCTCGACTAAATACTCTTTTCTTAGCCTCAGGATCCCACAACTTGAAACCTTTAACACCTTTCTCAACTTGAAACCTTCGACCTTTCGTCTCCCGAAACTAGCATGTAAGATGGAAATCCAAATATCTTTAAGTTTAATTGATCAATATCTATCCTAGCACACACCTCTTCTGCGACTTTCCTTTCTAAAGAACTCCTTGGCGATCTATTGATGAGATAGACTGCCATGTTTACTGCTTCCTCCCAGAACTGCTTGGGTAACCATGCATTCAATCTCAAACACCTTACTTTTTCTATAATCGAACGGTTCATCCTTTCACTGACACTGTTTTGGCGAGGTGTTTTATGCACCGTATAGTGCCTCTGAATACCATGCTCTTCACAGAACCTCTGAAATGCTCCATCAGTATACTCATGGCCATTATCTGAACTCAATTATTTCACCTTTCTCTCTTTTTGATTTTCTACTTCAGCCTTCCAAATCTTTAAGTTTGCAAACACTTCATATTTATGCCTTAACAAAATACACTCAAACTTTCCTAGAGAAGTCATCAATGAATGAAACGAAGTACCTTGATCCTCCCAATGACTGTTCCCCAGTTGGCCCCCACACATCAGAATGAACATAGTCAATAAGACCATGTGTCGTGTGTTTCCCCGTCTTAAAAGTTACCTTGGACTGTTTTTCCATTACACATAACTTGCAAAAATCCATCTTGTAATCCTTCAACCCGTCCAAAAGAGCCCTTCTCAGAAGTTCTTTCATTCCGTGCTCGCCAGTGTGACCCATACGCATATGTCACAACACTGTACACTCCGAGTCAGAAACTGCAGCTGGGGCTCCACCTAGAACCATGTTCCCTATCAGTCAATACACGTTTCCAGCTGTCATATGGCCTTTCATCACCTTCATAGGTCCATAGATTTCCTTCAATACTTCGTCCTCATCAAATTTATATTTGAACCCGTTTATATGAAGCGTCTCTAAAGATATTAGATTCTTCTTCATGATTGGAACATGCCTGACATCAGTCAATCTTCTGATAGTTCCATTGTACATCCGAACCTTGACTTGTCAAATGCCCTCAACACTACACACCTTGTCATCCACAAGTCAAATAGAGCCCATGTTTCCAGCCTTATACGTTTTAAACCACTCCTTGTTAGGGGTCATGTGGAATGAAGCGCCTGAATCTAATATCTAACAATTCATGTGATCTTCTGTCATAACAGCCATCATGTCTAAATCAGCTAATCTTTCCGAATCTTCATTCTTCTGAACTACGTTTGTAGAACTTGATCCGTCTTTCAAGTTATGCCATTTTCAGGATAGTCTCTTCTATAATGGCCAGGTTTGCCACACTATACGAGACTACTTTCTTCCCAAATTTTGACTCTCTTCCTGCTAGAACCATTCTGCTGCTTCTTCCGCTGCCTTCCTCTATCCTGACTGACATACAATCCGTCACCTTGAGAGTTTTAGTTATCCCATTATGTTGCCTTCTCTCATGATGTGAGAGCAGCGCAACATTAACTGTCTCCAGCTTTATAGTCACTTTATCGACTGTTAGAGCTGTCAACAACATCTCATATTGAGAAGGCAGAGAACACAACAAGATCATGGCTTGATATTCGTGCTCAATCTTCACATCCACACACGCCAAGTCTCCGAGGATTTGATTAAAGCTGTTGACGTCTGCAGCAAGATCTCCGCTCTCAGACATTTTCAAACCAAACAACCTCTATTTGAGGTACAGTTTGCTAGATAATGATCTAGACATATACATCATTTCCAACTTATCCCACATCTCTTTACAAGTTGTGAGATCCATCACCTGATGTGTTATGTCATCCGATAAACAAAGTCGAATCATTGAGACAGTTTGATACTATATCTCTTCCCAGTCATCCTAATTTATGGTTTCTAGTTTCAACTCCAACAGAGCCTTCTTCATCCCTCGCAGCGTAAGCAAATCTTTAACTCGCTGTTGCCAGATACCGAAATTCTCTTTTCCATCAAACCTAGGAACATCGAATTTTATAGAACTTCCTTTTGTCATCATTTAGGGTTTTGTAACCTAAAGCTCTGATCCACTTGTTGTGAATAAACGCGAATCAACTCAAAGAAAGAAAAAAGAAAACAAGATGAATTGAGGAAAATACCCATTTTGGGGTTCGTATATTATTGTGTGAATGAATTACTTTACAATCCTTTAGACCCATATTTATAGCAGTCCAAAACCCAGTTTTGTTTCTATAGGAATACATACTTATCTAAGAAAAAAAATTCCAAAACCGAAAAGGTATACTGTACTGCGGGAGAATGCTGTCCTCACACCCCCCTATATGTCAACTTTGATAGCGCTTATTGTGGAACCGAAATCCACCTACTGTCAAATAATCGTAAATAAGAAAACTTCGGGAAAACCCTAAGTTTCCAGAGGAACCGGCTATCTGCAGAACCGCACAACGAAGATTAAGAAAACGATAAACTTAGAATTCAAAAAAGAATCAACGAAATTGAGAGCAAAGAGGTTCTTATTCCGAATCAATGAAGAACTAGTACAAAAAGAGTAGCCGAAAAGTCTAAGAACGAAAAACCCTAATTGAGGCGCAACTCGCTAACAGAAAACAGAAATATTCCTAAATGCTAATTTTGGTGGTGAGAGCTCTGAAAATCGTGTCCCTTGCTTCTGCCCTAGACCTCTTACTTATATACTCCTCGCCTTGGCCATTCGGTCTTTCCATTTCGCCCAAATTTGAGTATATCGGGAATCTTCCGTTTTTCTCGATCCTTCTTTTTCTTCCGCGGAAATCTTCTATTTTTCTTCAAACCTGCCTTTTATGTTCAAGCTTGACATTTAGTTTCTTCCTGCGAGTAAATCGTCAAAACGTTATCATATCTTCGGGTTAGATTTCGTTAAGATCGCGAGATGGGCTTTTATCGCGTTTTAGGACCTTCCGGGCCGTTCTGCGATAAATCCGTTTTCCGACTTTGTACGGGATCGTTTCCTGATTTGATGCCGTTTTTAGTAAATTCCTCGAGCTAATCGTAAGGTTTACGATTTACTCGACGTTTTTATTAAAAACGCGTTTTTTACGATTTTAACGAGAAATCTCGAATAAATCGTATAGTTTAGGCAATGTTTGGTGTTTCGTTAACCGTTGCCGTTTTATACGATTTCTTCGAGTTCTTTGTCGAGAAACGAAGTTTTGCGGTTTTTATCTTAAAACTCAAACGATAGGTCGGATCGAGATGGAACGGGAGACATTTTGGGGATGCGGGAGATCGAGGCTCGGGACGTCCAGGAAGTCTCTAGTTCGTCCAACGGCGAACTAAGCCAGCCGATTAGTTCGCCCACCGGCGAACTAGTCAATGGTCTCCTAGTTCGCCCATCGGCGAACTAGTTGCGACTAGTTCGCGTTTTACGGCTGTTTCGGTGTTTTTGCGGTTTCGTAAAACGATTCTCGAGTTTTATAAAACGATTCTCGAGTTTTACAAAACGATCTTCGAGTTTTATAAAACGATCTTTGAGTTTTATAAAACGATTCTTTGAGTTTTATAAAACGATTCTCGAGTTTTATAAAACCATTCTTTGAGTTTTATAAAATGATTCTCG